AAACCATCCCAACAAAAATGTATCTGCTGTTTATGTAATTAATCTAATACAAAAATTTTGTGAAACTGGATCGGTAAATAATTAAATATGTGATATGAATAATCGTGGAGCACGAGATGAAGCAACGCAAGTTGCAGTTCTTGGTCACGTAAATTTAGACCCACAGCTTTCAGTTAGAAAATTATCAGAAGCTTCGGGAGCGGCAAAAACAACGTGCCATAAAATATTAAAATTAAATAAAATGCATCCTTATAAAATACAGCTTCATCAAGAGTTGGGCGATGATGACTTCGATAGAAGAGTCCAATTTTGTGAAACTATGACAGGCATGATTCGGCAAAATAGAAATATTTGTTTCAGTGACGAAAATTGCTTTTCCTTAAATGGTTTCGTAAATAGACACAATTGTTGATATTGGAGCGATGTTAATCCCCACGTTTTCCGAGAAGGCCATACGCAACGTCCCCAAAAAATTAATGTATGGGCTGGAATTCTAAATAACCAAATAATTGGTCAAATTTTCTATCACGAGAATTTAACTGGGCCTAGATATCTCGAGTTTTTAGAAGAATTAATGCATCCTCTTATCATTCAGTGCTTGGAAGAAAACTTAGATCAAATGCAGGAGGATCAGTTATACTTTCAGCAAGACGGAGCTCCCCCTCATTACTGTTTAGAAGTAAGGCAATATTTAAATACCGTTTTTCCAGGACAATGGATAGGTCGTAGGGGTCCTATTGAATGGCCAGCTCGCTCCCCAGACTTGACCCCACTGGATTTCTTTTTATGGGGACATTTGAAGTCTGTTGTTTACAGGACACCACCACAATCCATTGATGATTTGCGTAATAGAATCATAGAGGAATGTAGAGATTTAACACCACATGTCTTTGAAAATATTCGGAACGCTTTCGAGAATAGACTGTACTATTGTTTAAATGTAAACGGTGAACATTTTGAACATTTGATTTAACTAAAATAATAAAGAGTCCTTACTTTAGTTTATAAAGCGAAATTTTGTTGATCTATAAGAATACCTATTTTTGTGATAAGTTGTATTTTTTTGTGATAAGTTGTATTTTTTGTGATAAGTTATATTTTTTTTGGATAATTAGATTTTTTTTGTTTCTATCTGCTTTAATTATTTCGAAATTTGTCTACTGTCCAAAGTTACTAGTTCTTTTTTTTAATATCTGGTATCTGAACTTTTAGCTGTAAATATCTTTCAAAGTTCATTATGTAATTAAGTAATTTTTTCACATAGGGATACTAAAAAAACTACGCTTTCAGAATATGTAAAAAAATACAGGGTGTCATTTAAACTTTTGAACCGGGGGTGACTGGGGGCGGCAGATATCACGTTGGAGTGGTATCTTATACACTATTAATTTACCCCCTACTTCCTTAATGACCTTCCAAAATTTCAAGTCGATATATTTTAAAACACCAGAAATAATTCCATTTAAAGTTTTCGCGCGGACACCCGGTACATATATTGTGTTATTTATTTTTGTTTTGTTTTTGTGGTTGTTAGTTTGAACATGTTTTACTCTACTCGTATTTTATGGACATTTAATTGACTATATTTTGTAATTGCTGCGTGACACTATGTCCTCCACAGATACAGCAGATGATGTCCAGAAAAATGTTTTTACTCCTTCTAAAAAGCTACAGAAAAAGGGACATTTGGTCATCCGTACTAAAGAAATGGTTCTTAATATTTATAAGCATTAAATTTTATAGGACCCTGATATATTGGTACATGATGTTGAAAGGAGAGTTGCTGATAAAACAGCGATGTGCGCTAAAACCGTTTTTAATGTTATGAAGGAGTATAAGCAGATTCATAAATTTTCTGAACCAAAAAGAAAGCTACGTTATAAACAAATTAGTGGCTCTGTGGATGATTTTGATAAAAATGCAATAAGGCGCAAAGTACATCAATTCTTCTTTAGAAATTAACTTCCAACAATTGATAAGGTTTTATAAGAAGTCAACGATGATTCATATTTGTCTACTTTTAAGCGAGCTACATTTTACAAGCTTTTCAAAACCCTTAATTTTAAATTTAAAACTCGAGGAAAAAATAGTTTGCTTTTAGACAAAAATGAAATTGTTTCGTCCTACGCCACAAAAAATAAAACGGTACAGAGAAGAAAAGCAAAAAATATATTATCTTGATGAGACTTGGATTAACGCAGGCCACACCAAATCAAAAGTGTGTTTCGATATGTCGGTTTTTTCATCCAGACAAGCCTTTTTGGATGAACTTTTAACTGGTTTTAAAAACCCATCAGGTATGTGCGTAAAAACAGCTCATTATATGCCATATTGGAAGTGAAGAAGGCTTTGTCTCTAATGCACTTTATGTATTTGAGTTGAAAAATCCGGTGACTACCATGAAGAAATGTGTGGAGAATCGTTCAAAGAGTGGTTTTCAAACACCCTACCAAAATTAGAAGATAACTGCATTATTATTCGAGAAAGCTAGAAAAAATACCTACAACGACGTCTAAAAAAGGTGATATTTAAAAATGGCTATAAGGGAAAAAAATTGAATTCGACTACCAAATGCTTAAGATCCAACTTCTAAAACTTGGTAAGCAACATAAACATTATGATAGGCTAAGCAGCAAAACAACATAATACTTCACATGTATCCGTATCATTGTGAACTTAACCCTATTGAATTAATCTAGGTTGACGTTAAACAATACGTAGCAGATAAAAACTCAACATTTAAATCTAGAGACATTAAAATTCTTTTTGAAGAAATAATATTATTAATTTTTCCAGAAAAATGGAAAAAGTGTATCGACCATGTTCGCCAAAAAGTTGAAGTAAAAATGTGGGAGTTGGATAATATTATAGAAGTTCAGGTAGAACCACTTGTAATTTTGATTAACGAAGATAGCCTTTCAAGTCTAACTAATTTATCCGATTCAGAATAGTGTTAAGTCAAGTAAGGAAGATTGCTATAATACAGGGTTGTCTAATCTAAATACTAGTAGAACAAGAATAATAAAGAACAAAAGTTATTAAAAATACAAAAGGTTTCTTTTTAAGCTGCACAATTTTAAATCAAATACCAAATACCTCTTATATTTAAAGTTTTTTTAATGCTTTTAGTAGATATATATTAGCTATAAAGGAATTTGCAATTATTTGGACACCCTGTACAATATAATTTTATAATATGATTGTTTTAATGCTCTGTATCACAGTAGACATATGTAATGAACTAAATATAATGCAACCATCTCTTTTAAAGTCAAATACATTTATTAATTTGTATTGCAGGTTAACGCAGTTTATGTCGCTCACCTATCTTCGTCCAGAAATGTCACTAAAGTCTGGGAGACCGTGTATGGCATTTATTTTATAATTTTACTTTACAAAATATGTTTTTATCGTAATAAAAAAATAATTTCACAATTACACTCTTTTATTTTACATTTTTGCAAGACGGAAAAGTAAAATACGGCCCTGCTCAATTTTAGCGTCCATCTGCTTCTGTTTACATCAGGAGTAAATTAAATTTGAATAGACTTTAGTAGATGTTGTAGAACTTTTGTGCCCCGAAGAGAAGAGTTTGAGAAAGTTAGCTTATCATGACGTTATTCGACGTATAGATATGATGGCTAGTGGTATCAAAAAAACATTGACCGATACATTAGGTTTTGTCGTTCGTCCCACTGATGTAGGAATAAATTACACCAAACCTTTCGTTTGGCCCGGTGTAAAATCCACTATACCTTCCTGTCGGTGAAGTAGTGTCCACTGGTGGACATTTTCTTCACCAGCTATTTAGCAGGAGTGAATTACACTCGATATGTGTATAAAAAATGAGGGAAGTAAACTAGGTAAATAAGGTGGTGTAATTGACACTGGTGCACACACAGCGAATGAAACGTTGGTTTTCAAGCATTTTCGATTCCTTTGATGAGAGTACAGATTTATCTGACACAGTCCAGTTAGCTTATTTTTATACGAGGTGTTGATGAAGAAGTTGCAGTGACAGATGAATTACTGGCTTTATGGCCGCTACAAGGGACCTCTACTGAAAAAGATATTTTTGCAGAGGGGCAAAGTACTTTTAAGCAATAAAAAAAATGTTTCCTTTAAAAGTCTCTTATTTTTTTATGAACTTTAATATGAGAAAAAAATGGGGGGTACCAATTTAAAAAAAAAAAGGTCCACTTCGATATGGCCATATTATGGTCAGCTATAAAAAAAACGAATTTAGCCAAAATGTTTCCCCCAAAAAACTGTAAAACTTTTGTCTGAATTTTTTTTTTATAAAATGCATATTTTCGGCCGTATTTAACTGTAACACTTTAATTTGAACACCCGGTATAATGAGATTGAATAAATAAGGGATAATACAAAGCAAACAAAAATAAACTATTAAACAAATCTATAAAAATAAATATTGATTTAAAGATATCAACCTGTTAAAAATTAGATCCCAACTATTCCCCTAAGTGATAAAAAGGCATCAATGTGGGATTATAACGTTAATTGTACTTTAGGAATGGAATGGTAATAACTGGCATTTTAAAATATCCATTTGATAAAATTCTAAAGGCACATTACGTTTAAAAATATAAAAAAAAATAGATCAGTAGATTAAAATTGGTTTAAAATTTTCTTATCAAGTGAATTCGATGGTTTCGGGAAATAAGGGGATAAATCCAAATTTGTAACTTTTCAGGAGAATTGATTGTAGTTTAAGTGATGAATTCATAGTTTTCAAATTATTGTGCTAGGTTGAACTTTTGATGTATTTTAGCAAATTTATTTTCGAAAAGTTGCATAAGGAGGAAATGTAGTGAACTCGTTTTGACCGAAAAATGACTTATCCCTTTATTCCTCCGAAATCACGGAATTAATAAACATTAATTAAACATTAAAACAATTTACTTAACAAATATTAATGCTTTAATTAATGCATTAAATTGAGATTAAAGATAAAACGATATTCATTAAAAAATTTAAAATCCGAATGTTTGAAAAAAAAAAAAAACTGACTATAATTGTTTAAAAATAAATTAAACAGATATGTTTTTAAATAAAAATCAATATTGACAAATGATGCCCGTCAATACTATCAAAGTTTCCTCTTAATACTGTGCATTGCTAGCCGAAAAAAATGTATTTCCCCTCCCGTCTCAATTTAAAAAATGTATTATTGCCTATTCGAAAAATTCTCAGATGATGAATTAAGAGAGGCACAATTGGGACGGATATGCTATAAATACTGATATAAAAAATACCTAGTCTCACAGTTCCTTATAAATATTTAAGATAATTGCCATCAATTCTGGAATGTACAGTTGCGAAGTCTTATGATAATCATAGATGAAGTATTCCATCATCTTTTGATGTTTGGGTTTCTTCTATATTCATAATAGCTGTAAAAAAAAAACAGTATTCAATATCATGTGAAATATAGGGCAGTTAATAAAGACTCCCTATTTTGAAAATTTCCCAATAATTAGAAAAGTTTTCAAACTTTAAAAGGATAATAGGGGAGTTCAAATACAAGGGCGATTTCTCCATTGGTTCATTTGTGCAGTGAACATCCAGTTACATTTCATTTTAAAATAAATAAAATAAAAATATAAATTCAATTTTAATAATTTTGTTTCCATATGTGCTTATCTCTAGTTTTAGGTACGCTACTGCGCTCTGGCTAATCGCGTCACTGTGGTGCACTATTCTAGAGAGCCCGATGGAGCGAGATGTTTTCGCGAAAGTCTGTAGCCAAAAAGAGAAGTTAAAACGTCAACAGATCCGTGAAACAATGTGTCGCTTAAAATCACTTAAATCACGTTATTTTGTACATTGCATATAATCAACGTCACAATGTAGGACGGGGGATACGAATCTTTTTAATCAATATGGACTAAAGAGGAGATGCTATGACGATACTAAAAGTGTCCGCACTTTTGCATTAACACTTTTATTACGTCAAACAGCAGCTATCTCTTCCCCAAAATACCGAGCATATTTAGAAGAAAGAAGTGCAACGACAATCACTGGCAAAACACAAAAAAAGTAAAAATCTAAAATTAAAAATTGCTGTAAAAAATCCAAGGAAATGTGATGGGGATGTAAAGAAGAGTTATATGGGCGATTCTCGTGTAACTGATTTTTACAAATAAAATTTTTCTAAAATTAAAAATGTTTTAAAACGTATGTTTTACGCGTTTTTGTTTTCTATTTATGCATAGAAATAAGCCTGTAAAGTGGTTATACTACAGCTACAACACAACGAAAACTGTGACAAAATTTTAAAATTTTAATGTCACGGTACTGACATTATTTCCACGGTACTGACATTTAAATTGCTATTTTTTTTTTTACCAATCGAAAAATTGGTATAAAATTGCAATAAAATTCAATGCAGTATGCATTAGATTGGAGTTATAAGAAGTAAATTTTATATTAAAAAATGAATTTTGATAGAAATTTATAAATTTAATTTCAAAAATGAGAATTGGACATGTCACAGTACTGACATTTCGAGTATATTTATATGCAGCTTAAAAAAAAATTACGAAGTTTTATGATCTAATTCATAATGTCGCCTACATCTTGGCGCAATATTTTTAATAGGCGCGTTTTAATCACCCGCTTCTGCTCCGGAATTGTCGGTTTTCTTGTTTTAATCTGACAGGTTAAAACGACTAAACCGAAAATTCTGGAAGCAGAAACGGATGATTAAAACGCACCTGATATTTTGCTTGCTGCTGTCAGTGTCAGTGAAAATTATTTTTGGAGTCACAGTTTATTGCTAAAGAATCAGTTAGCTCACTCGGACCAGTTGAAAGTTCCAAAATAACATCCACTCCAGGGATACAAATTCAGGATACGCAGAAGACTGCTGTTTTATTATAGGCGGTTGTCATATATTGTATTATCCGAGTTGCACAGTGTATAAACTGAAACATTGAGATCAAAAGTGCCGACGCAGAATGAGCGATCTGATTCTTTAGCTGTAAACTGTGTCACAGGGTTCAAAATGGCCGCGCCCTATGTTGGGCGTGTCGGACCTCTCTCTTGCCTCGTATAGTAATCAAAGTATGTGAAAATACCTCTAAATTTTTAATATTAATAACGTTTTGATGAGGGAAACTTATGCTAAACGATAAATAAAACACTGGACAAAAAAATCACAGTTATGCGAGAATCACCCATATAATGCTTTAAAAGAAAGATATGAAGAGCATATCGGATGTGATAACTGTCCCAAATAATACCATCTAAAATGTACCAGGGTACACAATATCTCTATATCTGAGTTGAAACAAGAATACTTTAAATGTGATGCATACTAGTTTAATCTTAAGTTTTTCGTTTAATTTAAATTCATTCGTTTTTAAAAGTGTTTGATTATATTTTTATGTTTTGGTTTTATAATAAAATAAGAAAATGTCCTAAATATTTTAGATAAAAGTTTTAATAAATTTCGTTTTTATTACCTGAACCAAAGCACAGGCTGACTATTGGTATGCTTTTGGCCGACTATTAGGTAGTAAGTGGCCGACAAATTTCAATTAGTTGCCGATAGATGTTACGTATTTTCTGTATTCTTGTTTGCCTACCAGTCAGTATTGAATGATAAGAAAGAAAGAGATTTATTAAATAAGTAATCCTAATATACATACAATTTATAAATGCTGTGGAACAGCTCTTGAAAACATTATATAATATCAAATACTAATAGATATAACATAAAAAATAAAAAATTATATAAAATAAGTTAAAATAAAAATTTAAGAGACAGAAATATAAAAATTTAAAAGAAAGAAAATTGATCAAAGGTGTGTTCATGACATACTTTGTTGGATATGGTTTAGTAACATTTTTTAAAACCTTCTAACGTTAATTGCAGTTTTTATCTTATATGGAATTGCATTAAAGGCAATTAAACCCGGCGGGTCCTTTTTGCCCACAAATCTCTGTTTTCTACCTGTGTAAGTAAAGGGGTGCGTTAATCTTACTGGTATTTTGCCCACAGTAGCATTCAGGTACCTAAACCCGCAAATTACATCCGCCCACAAATAGGTACCTACCTGATTATTAATAATTCTATTAGGTACTTACTTTGGGTGTTTACTGTTTATATTTCAGTCAGTTTTTATACGTTAATGATTGTAATTCGAGTGTTTATAAACAATAATTATTTCTATAATGTCAGCTATATTGATTAAAAGCACACGCGGGAAAGATGTACTCCTTTTGGAGAATTTTACGTTTGCCAAAGATAGAGAAATGAAAAGTGGAGAAGTTTCTTGGAGATGCTCCCAAAGAAAAACAAATGCTTGTAATGCCACTGTATTTACAATTGGTCACTAACTACAATTGATGTGTCCTACATAAGAAAAACTATATACAACAGTCGTCGCAAAATACTACCAGGTCCATTACCTACAAATATACAAGAAGTGCATGATGCAGTTGACTTATATTCTAATACATTTAAAACCAGTAAAGGTGAACATTTTCTTTTAATAAATAGCAGAGAAAATAATATTATTGTATTTACATGTGAGACAAATATTCGTACTTTGTGTAAAATGAACGTCTTGTATATGGATGGAACATTTTCGTATTGTACAAAGTTTTTCCTACAATTATTTACCATTCATGGGCTGTGTAATTGATACTATGTGCCCCTGGTATATTGTTTATTACCAAACAAATCTACCGATATATACAAACATTTGTTTTCGTTATTGCATTATAAAATTTTGGAAACTTACAGTATTGCTTTAAATCCATCTAAAGTGTTCGTTGATTTTGAAATAGCAATTCATAAGGCGTTAATTTATATGTGGCCTAATACTGTAATCAATGGCTGCCGATTTCATCTACATCAAGCGTGGTATCGTAAAATTCAGTCTCTGGGATTAATGACTGAATATACAACTAACAATGATACCCAAAAATGGCTTAAAACATCATTTGGGTTGACATATTTAAACGGCGATGAAGTTGGAGACTGTTTTGTGTTTGACTTAATGGCAAGTAAACCAGAAAATGCCGTTCTCGATAGGTATGCCGATTACCTATTAGAAACATATATTGAAGAAAATTCTACATTTCCTCCAAGTATATGGGCAGAAAAAAACAGCTTCAATTACAAGAACTACAAATGCCTGTGAGTCGTTTCATTCAAGGTTTAATTCTTCATTCTACTGTACACATCCTTCTGTATATATTTTTATAGAAAAGCTTAAAGACTTTCAAATCGGCACGTATGTCACAATACAAAGCTTAAGTATACCTAAGAAAATCAAAGACAAAAGTGTAAAACAAAAAATTCAGTGTTTAGAAAAATTTATACAGCGATTTGATCTGCAGCAAATCAGCAGATTAGAGTATATAAAATTTGTATCACATTTATCCCTCCCAGTTGAAAAATATGTAAATAAAATATAAATATATAAAAAATATAATATAACTTATGTATACTTACTTTTTTATAATAATAAAAATTAGTGTTTAATATAATTTTTAGTTTAATTAATAATGTGTTTTTACTTTTCGATAATATATAAAAAATAATAAATGAAAGATATATCTATTATGATTTATTCAGTTAGAAATAAATTTGGGCAAAATACCAACAGGATTAAGATGACCTTTCACTTGTTGTGGGCAAATTACCTATAGGATTAGCAGCTTTAAATATTTTGTGGGCAAATTACCTCCGCCCATTAAACCATTAAGAAAAATTTAATTCATAGTGAGACTGTAATTTGTTTTAGTTACATAAAAGTCAGTAACTCTTCTTGTGGGATAATTATGAACCTGGTGATTAAACGTAATAAATTCATCGGTCTTTGGGGGCATTTCCCGATATAATTTTATATATAAATAACATATAACATAAAAATAGTCTATTCTTCACTGAAAACCAATTTAATGTGGAAAACATTGTAATAATAGGTATATACCACTGATCTGTATTATTTTACTGGATAGGATATAGCCCCCCAAAAAAAAAACCTTCCGAAAAATTGGCCGATTTGGGCAAATAATATGGCGGACCGGATGTTATTTAACGTAACCTCTATTTCCATTTGTCATCACAATTGTCATTTAATTGTGTCAACAAGCTACGATGAGATGTTTTTATTGTGGAAAACAAAGTAAAAAGGGTATGAAATAAACAATAAACGTTCATTCCTGAAGACACAATATGCTTCACGTTTCCATTTTTATATTTTCTTTCATAAAAAATCAAATCATGCGTGAAATTTCCCGAAGGACATCGCCCGCAAAAGGAATAGAAGAATAAGAAGAAAAACTAATCAAATTATAGGTTAGGTATGTCAAATTATCCCAAATTTCAGTTCTGTGAACCCACCATAATTTGCCCAAATCGGCCAGCATTGTTGCA